CCCAGGCGGCGGGACAGGCAGGGGCCGCAGGCTTCTGCCACCCGCCTTCCCCCTCCGCCGAGCCGTCACCTGCTGCGGGCCGGGCGCGGCCGGCCCAGCCCTGCCCGCGGGGCTCTGCCCCCAGGGCGGCGGGGAAATGCAACGGCAGCTCCGCCGGTGCCCCTCGTCGCGCCGAGTCTCTGCCGGGCCCTGACCGTGAGGGGAAGGCGGGCAGCGGCGGCCCGGGGCGCACCGGAGGGAGCCGCCACACTCCCTCCCGCCCTTTCACAGGTTTGACTCTGGAGGCCGGGAGGGAGGGAAGAAAAGGAAAAGGGGAAAAAAAGAGCAGAGTGGCAGGTGACTGTTCTTTTCGGGTAGTGTAGGAAGATGTGAAACGCATGCTACGATAAAACTGAGCAATGGAGAGAGCAGCTCGTAGAGATCAGTAACACTTCGCGACAGAAAACACCTGAGGAGGGCGGAGAGCCTTCTGCCCAGGCAAAGACCATCAGGAAAAAAACATACACTAATAGCAGAGGGGAAGAGCAAGTTAAAAACTCTATAATCTGGTATAAAACGATAAAAGTATAGGTAACATCTTTTACAGCACAAGCACCTTCACTATTAATGAAAGGTTAAGCAAAAAGGCCTGTTCTAACCTCAGGTAGTTAGTTTGACTATGAAGACAGAACACTGCCACTAGAGTAAGGGATAAGATTTTTGTATTCTTCCTGGCCCTGCTCCCAACCAGATACAAAGAGAGTCCATTTGAAAAAAGTTTTTTTGAAGGTTGGACATCTGTAAGGGAAGAGATGTCTTTGAGGTAGCATCTGGTGTCTTGGCTATGAAAATCCACATTTTTAAAATGATGACTGGCGAAGTGTTTGAGAGAAAATAGAACAGTTTAAACACATGAGAGGTTTAAGCAGTTACACAGAATTTCTAATTCTTGACTTTTTATTTTTTTAGAAAAACAAAAGCAAGTTGTGATAGCTGTGGTTAAAGTTACTGATTTACATGCCATAGGAGTAATGGAACACCAGGACTAATGCAGTTTGTCTTTTCCAATTCTAATCTTTTGAAAAAAAAAAAAAAGATTGTGATCCACTAAAACCTTCACAGAGATAATACTGATTTTTTTAAAAAAAGTTTTTAAGTGTAACTAAAAAAAGGAAAGCAAGTTCAACTATGAAAAGGGATGCAATGAAAGAGATTAGATATAGGTACAGGCAGCCTCCATCCAGTCCAGTGTTTCACTGAAAAGTCAAAGACTTGAACCACCCTCAGTATGGTTTTCAGAAATACCAGGACACCAAGTCACAAACCACTGACAGAGTTCTAAGACTTAGGAGGAGAAGGGGAAAATAGAAAAAAAAAAATATGCATTTTATCTTCATACATACAAAGAGCATCTTTTAGCCAGTCACATGTTACCAGAAAGCAAACATTCACTCATTCATACACACCTTTAACAAAACAATGCTGGTTGTAATCCACAATTCCCCATTGCAGAATGGCATTTGACCTCTAGTACCTGAAAAATTTACAGGATTAACTCTGGGAAATTAGCAAAATAAGAAGCAGCAGTGTTTACTTAAGTATTATGACAAACTAGCTGAAATTGTAAAGTTAATCAGAACAAAGCATGTCAAACTAAGAACTGAGGTAACCTGGTTTGAGAAGGAAGATATTTCTGTTGCTAGCATGATAATGTTATATGAAGTTTGACTTTCAAGTGTTGCAGCTGCATAGCTTAAGGTAGAGTAAATGGTATAACAATAATTTAGCTTGGCATGTACATATCAATAGCGATGCTTCTGTAAGAACTCTTCAGGGCTGGTAGTAAAAGTGGCAAGGAATAACACAATGTAGTCATGTCACAATGTCATTCTTACAATGCATAGGAGAAAGCTAATTTGATGGTGCTCTCAAACAGATTGCCAATTTCAGCTATATTAATCTATGGGAATTTTTTTTTTTTGCTTTCCCAAGTAAAGCAGTTACACAGTACAGCAGGTCATCCCTTCCAGAAAATGGGAAAAACTTATTGTAAACTGGGGGGAGCACTGTGGTAGTAACTCCAAGATTTAGCTTCCCATTGTTCCTAAGCCAAAGAATTTCTGTAGGACTGATCTTGTGGTCCTATAGAGCCTACCCCTCAGCTGGGGCTTCAGACTAACATTACAAAATGGATTATTTGGATACCTTACCTCTGTGGGGAAAAATTAATACTAATCATGATAGCATTTAGAAAAGAAACTTCTCTTTACCTGTTAAGGAACTGCTTGGATAAGCTAAAGAGATGTTTTTAAAGTGGTATCAGTGAAAATCAGCAACTGACATGCACTTCAGAACATGATCAGCCACATCACTTCTGAAGACTGTAGTCTAATAGCAGGGAAGCATTATGATTCTGTCCCTCCAAGTATTATTTAAGCATTCTTCCTGAGAGCAAAAAAAGTAACAATGCATCCTGCCCATAGCTACTCTATGTCACAGATTTATGACACACAAAGTTTTGCTTTACTATACAGTTCAAGCATAACCACCAGATCAGGAGTTACCAAAAAAAAGGACCAGATTATTTACATACAGTGAAGATCAAGACAGATTTGGATTATGACATGTAAATAATGGGGAAATTAACTCCTTTAAACACTGCAAGTGTATTCTTCTAGCTTCACTTCATTCTTAGAATTAGGGGATCTGTGTATTAAATTAACATGGTTACTCTCACCTCAGGCTGATGATACTGTGTTAAGATAATTCTTAAAAATGCACAGTATTTTATTGAATGTAAACTTCGGTAAAGTTAACCAAGCAAGTGTGTGCCTTCCCCCATTCTGGCCCTTTACAGGACAAGAATCCAAATATGGCAGAGATGCTAAGTATTTTGAATGCTATAGAGATGGACCTATGTGCTTTCATTTTTTGTTTTAAACATCACTTATTTTGTGCTACTAATGAGGGGAGATTCATATTTTGCATCTTTGGAAAGGGAGCTTCTTTTAGCCAAGAAGGTGTGCCTAGAATGTGGATAATTTCAGAAAGAAGCAACAGAAGATATGGAAGCAACAGTTATATAAAAAAAAAAATCAGTGGCTACACAAATCAAGAAAAACTTTGAAAATTACACCAAACATTAACTACTGAATCAAATCACTGAATTTTTAAGTAAAATTTTTGTTAAAACATTTATTGTCTGTAGAAACAAAATTTACATTGATTTTATATAAACTATGTTAAACATACATATAAACATACCTACATCTTAATATATACTTATGAATGAGGCTTTTAAATATGGGATAACATTGTCAAAAGCACCGTTGTATACTCCAAAGACTACAGACTTAAAATGCATTAGCATTTAACTCCATCTTCAGTAGTTTAAAAATGTCATTTCTTATCCACACTTAGAAATAATTAAAGGTTTCAAATATTGTGTCTGTATGTGTACATACATGTGCACATAACACATCAGATGGTCCTTGGGAAACTAAAGTATAAATAAGGTCACCATTAATATATTCCTTAGAAGTGAACATTAGTCCACATCCTCATTCAACTGGGGGTGGGGGGAAGTCCTGTTATTCTTAAAACAAAACAATGAGGCTTTTTTAATTCCATGAAGAGTGTACTTGAACAGCAATGGTTTCCACCCTGTCTCTTCCCTCAACAATAAAGACAAAAGAGAAGTCAGTCACAAAATAAACGCCATCTACTACATTATTTACAGGAAATGAAATATTAAAAAACCACAAGATTTAGACTGCTTAGACAAAATTCAGAGCAACGAACAGTGAACAGAAGAAAACTGTATTAAAGTGGCAGGCAGCATAGAGCTATTAAACCACATGGCTAAACAACTACTCAAATACCCCTCCAATGACAAAAACCATCAGGCACAGAAGGAAGGGGCAGGTGTTATGACAATAGTTTCCTCTGATCTTAACACTGAAAATTTACACTCACTAAGCTTGAAACAGAACACTTAGACACGTTCATCACTATCCTTAAGGTCTATTAAGGACTCAAGTGTTACAAGTAGGCTTTCAAAGATCTTGAAATGGCTTTTTCTTTCCTCCTTTGTAATCCTGCAGTGATGGAATTAAGTCTGTCAAGGGCCAGAGTTACATGCAGAAACATCCTTTTTTTCCCCTCCATATTCATTAGGATGCAAGTCTGAAGTCTTTCTTTTAGAGAACTCTCCCATAGAGAACTTTGTGGATAGCTGTTCAGATGCTTAAAAAAAGGCAAGAGGCATGTTTCTACACAGCATGGGAAAGTATCCCTTCAGAAAGCAAGAAGTTACAGACCTCCCTGTGTTTACAGTCTTGTAAGGTGAACACCAAGAAGTCAAGTCTGTTTGATATAATCATTAATCATCTTCTCCAAGCAACTCTCACTATCCATTTCCAAGACATGGCAGAAAATTACAACATGTAACAAGCAACTTTTGAGAACCCTGCCCTTTATAATGCCACAAGAAAGTGTAATCGTGTTTTCTGTTTTGTTTTTAAAGCAACTAAGTTCATATAAAGAAAAATCAGCATTTCACCCTGAGGCTCTGGGAGAGAAAGGCAGCAGGTAAACCTTTAATACAACTGGCAATCAGCTGAATTTACTCCCATCCTCTGCTATCAGTTACCTGAGTTGAGTTAGTTATGTCCAGGTCTCAAGACCATCTAAATCCATCAGGTAAGGTGATTTTAAACATATAATTATTACAGTTAAGGCAGTCTTGTAGAAGCCTTGCAATGTGTTGCTTCTTACTAGCCCCAGAATTTTGTTAACTATGTGAACTCAATCATCACAAAGCTTAAAATGAGGATTCTAACCAATCTATGGAAAGATTAAATGGATCACCAATATAAATGCTAATATCACAACAACTTATTATTTCAGACACTTTTAAGGAAGACTAGTCATAATAAATCCATTGCATTTTGGATATCCATTTAAAAAAACAATTTCACATGTGAAAAATTGAGAATATGACATGAGCATTTAACAGCCATTTCAAGTCAACCAAAAGAAAGGCAATTCACATTTATATTTTCAAAGTATAAAACAAAGCTAGAAAGCTCTTAGACAATCACATTTTTAACTTGCCCTTCCAATGCAAATGCAGTGACAGACTTTACTAATGCAACAGACACTGTTTTCCTGCTGAGGATTACACATTTAAAGTGGTTATTTTAACAAATTATCAGTCCGTGCTCCCATTAGAAACAATGCAATAATCAGTATATTACTTAAGTCTTTGTACAGGTGTTTTCTACAATGCAGTCACAATACAGAAAGGCACCAAGTTATTCAAGTAAATTGACCTTTCTTCTACTTAACACTTTTTCTCGTGCCTTCACAACCCAATCAGTAATTTCAATACACTATATTCCAGTACAACAGAACTTTTCTGTGCTAAAAGAACAAATAAGATGATTTATGAGTAGACAAGTCTCTAATTCACAAAGATAAATCTACATAGTAATGTCTCACACCAGGTAACATCAGAGTAGGTACCTCTAGCAGTCTAGAGTCAGTCACAGATTTCAATTTCTGTATGGATTTTATAAAACAGGAAAATTATCATGACAGAATCCCAAATTAGTGAAGCTATTGGTAAAGAGTGTGATTTGAACAAATGGTATCACCTTAAATGGTAAAATAACTGAAACAGTGACTACTTTTCATCATGACATTCATCTTGGGACCAAAGGTAGGAAGGGGGAAGAAAAAAAAAAAAAAAGGTCAGTAAGCATGCCAAAACCCCCCAAATGTTTGTACTATGTTGCTCACAGTTGTAGAAATAAATTACAGATATCTAGTCATGCATTGTAAAAAAAAGAAAGCACAAAGTCAGAGCCAGTCACACTTTTAAACCTGTTTAAAGCAGCATTAACTAACTGAAGTCTGATTACTTCAGCATTACTTCCCAACAGTGTTAACAAAACTGCCATGGCAGAAGTTTCTTCATGTATCCACTTTTCCCATTTGCTCAGTGAGTTCTCTTCCAGGCTTTAATAAGAACACTGCAGGAAGTTTACAGTAACAGCAGTATCCTGTTGAATAAGACAATATAGCTTCAGTAGTTTGTCCTGTATTGTACAAAGTTTCACTTCTTATGTGTTTTTCAGTGGTTTAGCACATTCAGGAGCAGCGTGAATAGCTTGTCAGCTAGAGGGTAAACCTGCCCTCATCTGCAGGGTACATGCAGCACTCCCCTGCCAGCAGACTGCTCAGGTGCAGTTACGCCACATTTGCTTTGGGTTGACTCACTTAATCTGTTTCAAATCCTTATTTTCATCCCCCAGTAAATCTACACAGAACGATTTTCCAGATTAATCACTGACAGCATCAGTAAATAAACATTTTCTTATCTGCAGAAAGGTGCCTGCCTCTATTTGACCAGGGAATTACTTTCCTTTAGTTTCCCATTTTGTGGATGCATGTCAAAGTTACTGAAAAAACTAGCTGAATCCTTAAATATCATTATTTAAACTGAGAACATGGGTTTTAGAAACAAACCATCTGGTGTTATTCTTGAATGACCACAACATCAATGAATTTGACACACTTCCTGCTTGCTTATTCCCTGTGAACACTGAGCAACACGTACCATTGATACAAAAGTTTTAAGGGACACTATTTCACTGAACCATAACTACACTTTCATATAGTCTCTCTACTAAAGGCATTGTGGAAAAAAACATTACCAAAAAAGCATGCAGAAATCATATTCTGACTTTTCATCCCCCAAAAGATATTTTTCTCTGAACATACCTCTGCCCAGTATTAGAATTCTGATCTACTATCCAAAACAGAGACTAGTCTGCATTCTGTATTGCTAACACTGTCTTGGAAGTGATGGAAATAGTTTAGCATGCATATATTCTGGATATGGTGAATAGCTTTTTTATTAAAGAAGATCTCTGAAAGCTACTTGCTATGCATCTTTAATTTACCAGCAACAAAAAGTCTCAACAAATCTGTAATACATACACACAACCCTATCATATATTATATATTAAGGCAAAGGCTATAAACAGGAAATAAGCACAACATTGTTCATAGCTGCTTATAAAACATGTCTGGCCATTTGAGTTTTGCACACAGCATAACTACTGCAGTAAACTTCAGAGAATTACTGGGATATTGAACAAAATTTAAAATTATCTGCATTTAAAGCAGTTTCTGTTATGAACAGCTTTGTTAGAAGATATGCTTATAAAAACTTACGTTTCTTGTTTTTCTTGTAATTAAATACTTCAGGCCCCAATTTCAGAATCCAGGAAATCACCAAGTCATTTATGACGAAAAAGATTAGAGAACATGTGGCTTGGTAAAGAATGTCATACACCAAAAAATATAACGATACAGAATAATTTTAAATACAGACCAACTAATCCTCTACCAACCCAAGCATGCTTTCAGTGCAGTTATAAGCTACTGCTACAGTACATTACATACCTGCCTGTTACCATTCATTAATCAAATACTGAAAGTTCTCCCAACATTCTAACAATTTACAAATGTATATACATAAACTCAAGTAGACTATTAAACTAAAGTTATACAAAATACTGTTTTACAGAAATGACTGAACAGAGGTGTAAAATCTATTGCACAACCTAGAAGGTCATTACTTGGAAAATCCTGAGCTAATGTGCTATTACCAAACAATTCAGGCACTTTTTTTTTTGTTTCCTTTTTTTTATTACATAAGCAATAAACTTTCAACATATAAACCTCTGGGTATAACAACTCCAGTTCCATCTGTAACATCATGCTTGGAAGAAAAAGTATTCAATAAATAAGAATCCCTTCAGTGACTTCTTTACTTGAGACTGGTATGCAAGAGGAACTAAACGTACATACTACAACGTTTCAGTTGAATACTGTACTTTAAAAGCAATTATTAAAACTGTGAAAAAGTTCTGCAGCATTCCACTACTGAAAAATAAAGTTATTTGTAATCAAGAAAGTTACAGGGTTAGTTCCTTTATCCTATTTTAAGTCTTGACAAAGTTGTCAAAAAATGAACAGATGCTCCCTTTGATGTGTTATCTGTTTCAACTTCAGGATCACACCTCAGTTCAGGTTTCTGTGGCAATATTTAAGTTTCCCTACAGAGAGAAAAATAACATTACTGTCAAGTTGTATCAGTGGAAAATAAAGCCTCCCAGCTTTCATAAGTACTGTATTATTATAGTATGTAACATACAAGAGTCCTTCAATTATTGATTGAAAAAGTCCAGGTGTAAAAATGGTACCTTAAAGGATGCATATGCATCATTATTTCAAAAGGGTGAAATAAAGACCAGTTTAACAAATCTCAAGGAGTTTAATCCTCACAACAGGAAATGCCACAGTCTCAGAAACAGTTTTGTTTTTCAAGAATTAGCCAACCAGCAATCAGTATGCTGTTAAGTAAATGGCTGTCATTCTTCAGGATTTATTTTACTTTAAGATACTCAAGTTCTTCATTGGGCCATAAAGATCAATATTCAAATCTTATTATACTACTTTAACTCAAATCTTAATCTCCAGCAGCCAGACTGTATTAAGCATGGTTTATAGGTTCCAGACAAGAACCTTAATACCCAGTTATAGAAAAGCACTGGAAATTAGAGAAAATCTCATTCCAACAAAATTACAGCACTTCTATGCCCATTTTATAAGGTCACCATTTTTGAAAAAAATCCTTCTCCATCTATTTTCCACCAATTCCAATTCAATTTAGCCCTCAGAAATCATACTTCTCCCAGTCCATGCAAATGGCATTCACCAGTATACTTCAGTAACAAGTATCTCATTTAAGTTGTCCATTTAACAAGTATTTGGTTTTCTTCCTTGTGGTCTTTGGTTTGCATTTTTTTTGGTAGGTTTTGGAGGAGGGGGGGGAATATGCGGTGCATGTGCTAGATTGGGGGGGGAGGGGTGTGGTGTGTGTTTTACCACCACCACCCCACCCCACCCCGGGGCTATAAATTTGCAGGGTTTTTTGAAAACAGTTCTTAAGAATCTATGCTTCTGTGCTTTAAGAAGTGAACTCTAATCCAACTACAAATAGTTACGCAAGTATATTTACTTGTAGCTAGGTGGACACAGAATTACAAAACAAGAATTTGCACAGGAACACAGAACTGCAAGGGGCTGTGTAGGTCATCTAATCCAATTCTCTGATGTCACAAGTAACCTCATACTACTTTGATCATACTTGATCAATTCTAATAAAGGATTTAGAATGTTTTCACTACTGACAAAAACTGTAGCATTTTATATGGTTCAAAAATTTTTCTGCAGATTGAGATTATCCTTGTGCCACACTCCCCATACCAAAAGGTATCATAAAACAGATGCACCCAATTATTTCACCTTGAGCTTATCAAACCATTTTACACAGACATCATATATTGTAGGATGCTTTATTCAGAACAGCACTCGTGTGTACTTTAAGGCACATGATTAACTTAAGGTAACATAACAAAATGAGAAACACAGACATAGTTAAAATTTATACCCTTCAAGCTGTAAAGCCATAGCCTAAGAGGACGTAATATTTTTAGAGGGCCACTTCGTCTTCCTGTAAATAGGAAGAGAGATCAGCTGAACTCAAGGAAAGAATACTGAAACACAGGCAACTGCAGAATCTGAGGCCACCTCTAATCTGCAATTACCCAAAGGAAGTTTCAGCAAGTTTTCATGGAACAAACATGGAAGGAAATAAGAGTGGAGAACCTGCTTTCCCTGTAAAGTACAAAGAGCCAACACTCCAGAAAATCCCATCCAAGTTATTCCATGGGGATTTAAAAATTGGAATGGATCATACAAATATTAATTTTATAAATGGCTTTAGTGAAAAATAAATTAAGCCAACTTACCTTTTCTTTCCTCAAAAATCCATCTCTGAATTTATTAGTGGTAAATCCCCTTACACCAACAGAACGCAACCGCTGGTACTTAGCCTGAATATATAAACCCTTCTGTACTAAGCCTGATTTATAATGGGATTGCAAACGGCCATCTGCAAAGTTGCTCTGTGAGAGTTGGAGAAGAAAAAAGTGCAGAATGAGGGCACCAAAACTCAGTAGTTTATATTTACAGTTTGCACGTGTAAAACAGTACTCAATGAACAGAAGTATATATTTGCAAGTGTAGAGCCCCTTCCTTTATTTCCCTTTTAATACTCCTCAGACCACTAGCTACACCATGTTGCTCAAAGAACTGCTGTATTATACTTACTGTTTAAAACATATGAAATTATCTTCCTCATACAACAAAGTAAATGTATTGTACGACATCTTAACATTTTTTCAAACTTTAAGGAAATTAAACCACCATCAAAAAAGTTTAAGACAACACCTCACTGTTGCTAACAAATTCAGAGATATCAGGCCTGCAGTACGCACACATGTTGAGTCTAAAAAAGTCATACTAAACAGAAGTCAGCATATATATTTTTCCTATAGTTCTGAGATCTTATGCTCTGAACATACATTCATTGCTCTATGCCTTTGTTACCTCCAGACTGGAATATTGTAAACTAAGCAAGTGTGGGACCAGGAGCAGAGGCCACAGAGACAACAAAAGGCTTACAGGTGAATGGCATTATACATATACAGAAAGAATACAGCAAGATTAACACTGATCACAGCAGTTAAAGTTATAAAAAGATTTTCATTTCTAAGCACTCACACCTGCAACAAAATAGGCAGTAAAAGTCTTCAGAGTAAGAAAAATCCGGTGTATCATAATGTCTCAGTTCTGCAGTACTGCCGTTTTAAGTTTTCCAATGTGGTCTTGACATAAAGCATTCATGTATACATTCAGTCTTTAAATTTCAAGTTTCCCCACCCCCACTAAATTTAAACACACAATGGCTTTCCAGCTAAAAAAAAGAGAAAGCCTCCTGACCCTATAAAATTATCTTTTGTAAAAGTGTAGGAGAGAACAAAAGATATCACAGAAATGGCCCTCTTGAGCATGACCTAATCACTTTGGTGAAATTGGTCTCCTTTTGATAAAAGGATCATTTTAAAGGGGGGGGG